ATTTAAGAAATTAATAAAATAGGAGAGAATGTGCTAAATTAGATCATGAATTTTTGAAGATTATATAAAAGAGAACAGGAAAATAGAAGGAGAATTAACGTGCAGGGATTTCATAAATAATAAAATCATATTTACCTTAAGGCGACTCTGTTTGACTAGGAAGTGTGACAAATAAGGAAAAGGACATATAATAAAATTAATGACCAAACAGAGTCACAAACATAAACGGATTTGAATTTGGTAATTGTAGGCACTGAGTGCTTGTATTATCTGAGTCGTTGAAATCTATATCAACAACTCAGATAAACTCACTCATTTATTAATTAATCTCAAGTAGAGTATGAATTTAAAATAATTAATTTGGATTTTAATGGTTTAATTGATACGAGTACTTAGTTCATATATCAAATACAGTCACCAAATACAAATACAACATAAACATGAAGAGAGGTGGAGGATATGGATATATGAAGTCACGAGGGGAAGCTGAGTAGTAAACACAGAGAAGGCATTATAAGTTTGGCGGTTCATATCAGATAAACTAATCCTTGGCCACTGCCGCTTGCACGGGCAGTTGGTTCTTGACCCATTCCAGATACCCTCCTCCCATGTTCCTCACATTCTTGTACCCCTGCCAGTGCCATTTCAATATTCATTCATCATTACTATTCTCAGTTCTTACATAAATAAAGTGACCTTCAAGTATATCAAGTGATTCCACTTACATCACCCACAAGATCCCCCGTCGCTTGCATAGATCTCACCCCGCTCTGGCAACCCTGATCATTGCACACGCCTCAACAGCTATATTTTGCCCTTAATTAGCTACTTGTATTTCTTCTAATACAATTTGTAAAAATAATGACTTGTCTTATTAATTTTAATATGAGATATATTTACATTAAGGAACAAGATTTATTAAGATCTATTAGAGAATAAAATAAAAATTCATAAAGAATAAAATAATAGTAAAAAAATAAAATAGTTATGAAAACTCTAACTATACAGAATAATATATATAATAAAAAAAATCTAATATTGTGGTATGTTATCTTCGTTCTGAAAATAGAATTCCTAAGAAAAAAGAAATGTTTACCACCACCAAATGATCTTCCTTGTTGCAGGATGACCAAACCTGGTTCAGAAACTCTGGATTCTTCACCCTCCCTGTTGCACGACAGCAGAGATTCAAATAAAGAATAAAGACGAGGTGTCCTGAGAGAAGAAATTAAAATTCCATTACCCTCTGGCGTATCAAACATGTAAGGAATGTTTATGATCCTGTCCACAGCTGGATGCCCTTCCTCGAACTCTTCCGACGTCCTGTTTCACGATTGGGTCCAATTTCTCCGCATCAAAATTATTATGTTGCCCCCAAAAATATCAGAAAGTGTTCGTCCCATTTTCTCACCGAAAATGACCAAACAGAGGATAGGAAGATTTCTACCTTACATCGAGATAAGCATGGCCGGCAAGGGTCAGAGCCTTGGCTGTGTGCACGTCAACGGTGACAACCTCGGCTCCTGAACTGCACCACAAAACAAAAAGGAAGATGGAGAGAAAATGGCACTGGTTGTACAGTGTATGGGGAGCCAGAAGAGAAGGTCGAACCTTTCAATGATGCTCATCACGAAGAATTGGAAAACCAGGTGAAGAAGGAGACGAAGCAGTCTGGATTGCTTTTCGTTTCCTGTAAAATGTGATCCAGGAATTGCTGCACGAGTCGGATCCCATCTTTTGCGGGACAGTTTGTTATTAATGCGCCACGTCACCGAAAACGATTGTGGGACCGTTTGTTATCAATGAGCCACGTCACCGAAAACGACAGCTTTCGTCGGGCTGTAGCCATTTGAGTAAGGCCACCCGTACCGTATTAATTAACGGTAAAAAAAGCTTCAGCTTTATCCCTCTCCGTTTTCTTAAAGTATTAAGATTACACTGCTTTTTTTCCCCTTCTGGTGCAATATTGGATCTTGAGATTGAACTTAATTACACCTATCATGGTGTGCGGACATCGGGATGCAAGCTATACATCCATCATCGCTCGAGAGAATTATCACAACTTCGTTGAGAATTATTCAAGATAGTCTTTTAAACCTGACATGACATTACACAGTAAAATCTGAAGCTCCGTGCTTGCGTTCCGTCGAAATTCTTGGTCGACAGCTTGACATGTGATAAATGTTCAAATTCTTTGTTGGAGCTATTCGGCGAGATCAAAACGTTAGCTGGAAATCACGAGTCATTTTAGTCATTTTATTGTTTATTATTACAGATTGTATTGGGTTTGTTAAGAGTTGTAATTCCTATTTTTTAGATTTGTTACTATATAATATCTTCCAGATCATAGTAGCACAGTGAGTCATGAAATAGTGATGTTTAGTTGAGAGTTTAAGATTTTAATGTTTACTTCATCATACGCCACCAGAACTTGCTTGTCAGTTGAAGGAAAAGATGCTCAGGCTTGTTTGACAACCTATTCTGCAAATAATTTTTTATTTAAAAAAATCTATTTGATAATGTATTTTTAAAAAATATTTTAAAAATAAAAAAATAAAAATATTTTGTTATTGTTATGGGATATTATTTTAGAAAATAAAGGAGAATGAGAAAAACTAATATTTTCATCATTTTTTATCTCAAAACATGTTTTATAAAATATCAATTTTTAAAAAAATAAAATAAAAATAGTTTCAAACAGGCTTAAAATTTTTCAAGACAAAATTTGGTGCTCCTTAAACCTCAGTAATAGCTAGCCACCCCTAACTCAAAAAGATTGAATTTGAGCTAAGAAAATTGAATAAGATAAATCGGTTGGTATCCCTTTCCCTATAGCTACTCTAATCCTCTCATCTCTTTCTTGTCCAAAAAAAAAACCCTCTGTTTTTTTGGCCTAAACCAAAAAAAAACCTTCTTATTTCTTTCCATTTTCATTTCTTATATTCCTTTTTAATTATCTTTGGATTATAATTTTTTATGCTATCCAAACAAATTAAATGATTTTAAATGCATAAATTTTAAATGTGAGGTAAAATTCAAATCAATATCTACCCATTCAAATTAAATGCTACCTTAATGGACAGTTTTAAATTTAGAACTAGTTGAGGAGTTTGTTTTGATTCCAAATACATTTTGCCTCCCAAATTTTTTATTTGTCTTCCAAACGATCCTTGATTATACATGCTAATGGAGAATTTTTTCAATGAAGGTAGTTTCCAACGCACAAATAATTGAAGAGGTATCTTAGAAAAGCCACAACACATTTTCTACAAATAACCAACTTAACTAATTTTTATAATCTCTTTAGTTACCTATCTTTGACATTTAGGACTATGGGAAGCAATAAATAACATTAAAATTAAAATTGGATGAAGGGTCCCCCAACAAATAAATTTCAATAACTTTCCTCCAAGGCTATTAAAGATTGTCCAATCACTGTGGTTTACAAGGCTATTAAAGATTGAACTTAATCACAAGAAAGCCAAGGAGAGTTTTTTCCCTGCTTAAATGCAAAAATTACTTTGAAATAATTTTTTCCTCACATTATTAGTAGAAAAATAATTTTTTATAGATAAATGAAAAAGTTTGTGGACTTGTGTCAAGGTTTACTGGGGAACAAATATATTGTTACAAGGACATTTTCACCACATCATTACATAATTTAAATTTAAAAGTATTATGAACGAGTGTGTTTATTTTAATATATAAGAATAAGATAGCCATCGTTCGTACAAAAATAACATCTTCAGCACATCATCACTTAATCTAGAAGTATATTATGAACAAATCTGTTTATTTAATTTAATAATAAGAATAAGAAAGCAATCTAGAAATCAAAATTAAGCCCTATGGTTAATTATCCTTTACAATAGACGACATAGTTTTATTAAGATTTATATAATTTTTCTTATATATTACTCCTCTAATCCTATTTATAAGTCACTTCTATTATGTTTTATTGGAATTGAGGAAAAACTTACTCATTAATTTTATCTAAAAATTTAATAAGTTCTCAATTTTACTCTTATTTAATATACATTCTTTATTAATATATTCTCTCTCTCTCTCTCTCTCTCTCTCTCTCTAACATTCAATGAAAGGTAAATAGGGAAATTTGTGTTAAAAATTTAATAAGGTGATCTTTTAAAAAAACCAAAAATAATCTTCTATTTCTGCCTCATAAATATGACAGTCGGAGTATGTGAGATGTGAGTAGGAAGACTAATTTCAAACAGTAGTATATTAATAAAACGTTTGGTTGCCCTTTCTTAATTGTAATATTTTCTTTCTACGTTGAATACTTAATTTTAGTCCATGCATCTTAATGATCATTGTAGAAAACAATTACAAATATAATTTAATCTGATTTACATTTTAGTTAACATAATTAAATCCTAGCTTTGTTCGTGATTTACGTATACAATTCAACTTCTTATTGATTTTATTCTATATAATATACTGATAGAGTTTTTGTTTGAATCCAAAGTTCTCAATTGGATGAATATGGTCCCCCTTCCAGTATATTGAATAATACCCTGAGATTGATGGATTTAATTTTAATGAATTAGAACTATTAAAATAACAACATAATTTTAATTAATAATTATTGATATGATATTTTAGATCTTCTTTCAAAAACCTAATATATCTGTTGCTATATGCAGTGGTTGACGAGTGCGAAAGAATTGATAAAATATCCTCCTATATCATCATCCATCAACACACCGATGTTTTTATAAACCACCACTGACGTCTCTACTAATGCATACATACTTTATATGAACTTGTCATTAAGTTCACTGCACACATATGTATCTCTGCGCTTCTTATTATTACACTACACACATACATATCTGAAATAGAACTTTATGGCATCAGAAAAGTCAAAGTCCTCTGATCTTTCTGATCTTCCCAAGCACTTCCACGAAGATGAAGATCACTTATCCCAAGAATGCAAGGATCTCATTGCAAAGTAACCCAGTAAATTGACCCTGATCAACATGCCACTCCATCAATACAATGGTTTCTGGCTCTCCAAAAAGCATATTCAAGGAATCTTAAATTTTCAGAATCACTACCAAGCTCATGATTCTGACGCCCTCCTTGTCACCTTCCCCAAATCTGGCACCACGTGGCTCAAAGCCCTTACCTTCACTATTCTCAATCGTAAGACCTATGATCCAAATCCAGCCCAAACTCACCATTCTCATCATCCTCTCCTCACTGCTAGCCCTCATGATCTTGTACCTTTCATAGAGTATTACGATGATCTTCAAAAGCCCATGGCTATTCGAGACTCGTTCTCATCGTCACCGAGACTCTTTGCATGTCATGTCCATATGTTTTGTTGCCAGAGTCTGTGAAGCAGTCTAGATGTAAGATTGTGTACTTATGTCGAAATCCTAAGGACTTGTTTGTTTCAACATGGAGATTTGTGAACAAGTTACTAGAACCAGATGCCCAACGGTTGGTTTCAATTGAAAATGCATTTGAGAAGTTTTGTCAAGGAGTGATTGGTTATGGGCCGTTTTGGGATCACATGTTGGAATACCATAAGGAGAGTTTGAAGAGTCCAGATAAGGTTATGTCTCTGAGATTTGAAGAGCTGAAAAGCAAACCAGTTGAGGTTTTGAAGGACCTAGCTGAGTTTATGGGTTATGGTTCTTCTCAAGAGGAAGAGGGTGGTAATGTTGTAATCGATATATTGAAGCTCTGTAGTTTTGAGAGTTTGAGTAGCATGGAAGTGATAAGACTGGAAATTCATGGCACAAGATAGAGAATAAGGCTTTTTTTAGACGTGGAGAAGTTGGAGACTGGAAGAATTTCCTCACATTCGATATGGTCCAACGTTTAGATGAAATAACTGAAGAGAAGTTGGAGAAACATGGCGTGAAGTTTTAGATCCATATAAGTTCCTTGGAATATCTAGTCTACCTAAAATAGCAATGTTCGAATAAAATTTTCTAAGGGCAGAGTTGTTCGTCCTTCATTTTTTTATATTTGTTTATGGTGTGTTTACATTAATGGAAATTTGAATTTGGATTTATATTCAGATCAAATCCTCATTTGAATGCACAAAATTTTATAGATTTATTTCCTATTACGTTTTCTTTATAATTTAAATTCTCTTCACATTCTAATCCCTTGAAATTGTAATCACTTCAAATCTCTCATTTTTTTTGTTTTTCATTATTGATGTCTTTATAATTTTTGTATCTTTTTGTATCTCTCATTCTCGTGGCTGGTTGATTGAAAAATAAAAATAAATTCATCACTTTTAATTTTTTGTTTTTGTTTTGAATATCTAACCCATCTCTCCATTTAAATATTTTTAAACTAATTAAACAAAAAATTTTAAATACATGAATTTTAAATGTGATATTTGAAATTTGAATTTAAAATTTAAAATTTAAATCCAAATCTATATCAATCCAAATACCACCTTAACTGTTTCATGGAACGTTACTTGTTTATTTTATTCTATATATTTGTGAATTAATAATGGGTCATATGTATCTATTATTGCATTGTAGTAATTGTATAATAATCATTTAGAATATTTTAATCAGATTGATAATCATCACAATATGTAAATATTATATATTTTTCGTTGACACAACAAATGATGCATCAATGGCTCCCCAAGCTAAGTATACCCAAAAATGCCTCTATCATTAAATATGGAGGTTCACCATTCAACTAACCTTTTTTTTGTCCATTATTATATATAAGAAGGTAATAATTGACTACAAGCTTTTGTTTGTCGAACTTGTCAACTTATACATATTCAAATTACACATGCAATTTTTTTTTTCCCCAAAGTCAGGCGCACACGCTATTGCAAGTGCAAACGCAATGCTTTGTTTAGAAGCCTCAAACCTTATTCATAGTTTTACTTGTGGACAAGCAAGAAAGTTTTCAATAGCCACTAATTAAAATAACTCAGTGATCTCATCATACAATTTTAATATAATCACCTTAAAAAATATATATATAATCACCTCAAAAATTACCACACACTCTATGATGATTGAAACCATAAAAATATTGCAATGGTCTAATCACGGTTTTATTTTTTTTTTCTTTTGTGAATCGGACCCCAAGGGCTATCAAGGTCAAATCATTCCTCCACATTCAAATAGCTTACACAGATATTTACAAATTGACCATTAATAAAATCCTCACATCGACAACAAGATTTGACCCCATAATCTTTGGATTACTGGCCAAATCCTTATCAATTAGACTTTAGACCAATCTTTGTTTCTAACACTAATAAAAAAAATGACTTTTGACAGTGACTTCTAGTGGTGATAAAAAAGTCGCCGTCAAAAGTAAACATTTGGTAGTGACTTTTAATAGTTGTCACCATAAATAACTTTTAGCTATAACATTTTTGTCATTGCCAAAAATATTTTTATAAAAAATAATTTATATAATTACTTTTGGTAGCAACATTTGTCACCTCTAAAAGTATTTTAAAAAATAAAATATAATTTTAAATTATATGAAACAATTTATTGAATTATTATTAGAAAAGTTTTCTTATGAATTATTTTAAAAATTTAAAATTAAATAAAATCATTCAAAATATATTTATGAAATTAAATTTATTATTTTATATATAGAATGAGAAATAAATGATATATAGGATCAAAGAACAAAAATAATAATAATCAATATGTGTTAAGTTTAGTTATTAAATTATTTTTTAATTTTGTATTATACATAATCTTTTTTAGACATCTATAGCTCAATTTTTTTAAAGAATGATCTTATTAAGCTAGTATTTTAGTATAATATATATAATTAAAATCTTGAAGGGTAATTACTTTCAATTATAATCAAGTTAAGTTATACATAAATACTTACTTGCATACAAATACTAAATGAAGTAGGATCTATAAATGTGAGAGGTACTTCTATTTAATAAATTAGTCTTTTGGATGAGCTTTTTCTCTAAGCATGTGCTCATAATATTGGTGCTTTTATTAAGAGGTTGATATAATCACGAAAAGGACTACCCACCTATGATGCATGTATACTTACAGAAAAAATGCATAAAACACACTAAAAATATGATTTCAAAAAGCTATAATTTCTTTAATCTAAAAGCATAGGATACATATAAGAAATTTAAAAGAAAATAAATTAAAAAAATAATATTATGATACTTTATAGATATGTAATGAAGAAGCCACCCAAAAGCATTCTAATTAGCAAGACATTGCATAGTGAAGTGGACCTTTGGTGGCGGCTTTTAATAGCCCCACCAAAAGTAGACCTAAAAGTGTTTTTATAGAAAATAATTTAAAATTTAAAAATAATTTGAATCATTACTTTTGGTGACAACATTTATTCCTACTAAAAGTATTTTTAAAAAATTAAATATAATTTTAAATTATATAAAATAATTTATAAAATTATCATTTAAATTATTAAAAATTTGTTATGAATTAAAAATTAAATAAAATCATTCAAAAGATATTTATAAAATTAAATTTCTTATTTTATATACAAAATTAGAAATAAAAGATATATAGGATCATGGAACAAAAAGAATAATGGTGAAGATGTGTTAAGTTTAATTACTAAATCATTTTTTAATTTTATATTATTCATAATTTTTTTTAGACATATATAGCTCATATTTTTTAAGAATTATGTTATTAAGCTAGTATTTTAATATGATAAATTAAAATCTTGGTGAGTTATTACTTTTAATTACAATCAGGTTAAGTTATATATAAATTATTACTTATATATAAATACATAAATGATATTGAGATGTCAAAGTTGTATGGATATTGTGAGATACAAATGATATTATAAGTTACTTAGTATATTATGTACTTGATGCTTAGCTTGGTATATATATGATGTTTACTTCTACCGAGCTCTAATAACTTTTGGACAAGAATTTCATGTAATTTTGCCTAGCACATTAAGGTTTTCATTGTTATAAAAAAAATTACTAATAAAATTTTATAACTAATTATTGCTTAGAAGAATATAAAAAATTATTCAAATTCACCTTACTATAAGGTAGAGAATGGTTAAAGGTTAACTAGATTGATTGCATATGAGATCCTTGTAATTATCTTGTATTATAAAAGTTGTTAGTATTTGTTAAAAATTTAAAATTATTCAAAATGACTACTAACAAAATTTAGGTGATTGAAATTAATTTGATATTAAAATAATTTTTAAGATATTGAAAAACTGTAGATAAAATATATTTTTTTTATAAAAGAGGGGGAAACATTTAACCATTTTAGAGAAGATAAAGTTTAATCATTTAATTTATCAATTTTTGGTAAAAATATGGAGAAGGAAAAAGTAAAAGATATTTAACATAAACTAATATAATACATATTTATAAATAAATTATATACTTTAATAATTTTCATTTTAAAAATAAAATTTAAAAATTGGTTACAATGTATATGAGAATATTATTTAATATTTAATATTTGTTTATTTTAAGTTCATTTTCCTAACAAAAATACTTCGTCCATTTAAAAATGTAAGGCACTTTTTAAAAAGTTGGATATTGAGAAATGTAAGGCATTTTTAATCTTTCAAGGTGTAACTATTGCCTCTCTTTTTTTTAAAAGCACCCCTATTAATAATGAATTTATATTTATTGTAGGGTGTTTAGTAGGAATAAATATTAAAAGATAGGATTAGTTTGAAAGTAGGTAACTACTTTATTGGAGGGTAAAATTCAATTAAAAATGTTTTAGATTTTTTAATAGAGGGAGTGATATTTATTGGTAAAAATGATATTTTATTCAAAATATAATTTAAATATTCATATAGATTATTTTATCATATTAATAATTGAAAATAAAATAAAATATATGTATATCTTTCTAATAATATATTATTTGATATATGTGTATGTAGTTAAATAATATATATTTAATTTCATTTATAATAATATTAAGTGTATTTCTATTTAATTGACAAAAAATGGACACTTAAGGCTTGGAGATGGAAGAAGTTAAGAGTTTAAACTTTGACTTTAGCATATTTTGCAATAAATATATGATATGTTGCATGGTGATAGCATGGTGTATGAGGTGGTTTGAAGAGGCACACACATGGTGGTGACGTGACACAATGTGGCAACATTTGTTTAATGTGTGGCATGTGATGTGGTATGAGTTGGTGGGGTGATACACACATGGTGAAGGGACGTGGCATAAAATAAATTGTTATTTTTTAAAAAATAGTTTGTCATGGCTAAAAGTTAAAAAAAGTTTTGGCTATGACAAAATAATAAAATAAATTATTATTATTATTTTAAAAGAGAAGCTAAAAATAAACTTTTAGCTACACGAAAAATTTAACGACGACATTTATTACCACTAAAAGTATATTTTTGATAGTGACAATTATTAGTGATGATTGTTATTACAATAATCTTTTAGTAGCCAAAAAAAAAAAACTTTTAGTGGCAATTTTTGAAAAGTCATAGCCAAAAGTTTGTTTTTTTTGTAGTGAAGGTGGCATTGTCATGTGCTCATATTGGGAAAGTTCACAAGTAGAGTGAGATTTATAAATATGAACTACTCTACCACCTAATAAGTTAGTTTTGTAGAATGGGATTTTTTTTTTGGATTTATGCTCATGACACTAATCAAAATCTCTTCTTATCTTATAATTGATTGATAAGAGGAAAATAAAAAAAAAAATTAAAATCAATACCTACTTATCTATAAAATATACACTTATCAAATTCCAAGAGGCAAAAACACAAACAGAAACAAA